ATGGCTTTAAATTTGACAGTTTCGATGAAATGAAAACGTATTTTGAAAAATACAAACTATGAAGGTTTGCTTAAGAAGAAATAGATACCATGAGTAGTTCTATATCAATTAAAGAAATTAAATATGTAGTTAAAAACATACCAAAATAGAAAATCCCAGGTCAGATAACTATATGGGTGAGTTCTACCAAACATTTAAGAAAGTAATAATAAAAATTTTACACACTATCTTCCAGATTTTGCAAAGCAGAGAACATTCTCCAACTCATTGTATGAAGGCAGCAATACACTGATACTCAAACCAAAGATGTTACAAGGTAACAAAACATATCAACTAATACCTTTCATTAACAGATGCAAAAATTTTAATCAAACCTTTAGCAAATTGAATCTAACAATATATTAGAAGAATAAAGAATGTATTACAGGAATGCAAACCTAGATTAAAATTAAAATATCAATGCAATTAAACACATTAACAACAAAAAAGTATGATTATCTCAATATACCCAGGAGGAAAGCTTTACAAAAATCTATATTCCATTTCTGATGAAAGATACAGAAAAGAGGGGAAATCCTCAACCTAATGAAGAACTACCATGAAAATCCTACAGCTAACATCATACTTAATGGTAATAAGTTACATACTTTATCCCTAAGATTAGGAACACGGCAAGGATGTCTGCTATCATTGCACATTTTAACTAGAAAGTACAGGCAGTGCACACAGGAATAAAAATATGTAAATATGATTCAAACTGGAAAATAAAAAGTAATACTGTCCTAGTTTGCAGATGATGGATAGTCTATATAAAATCAAATAGAATCTATAAAAATCCTAGAAATAGTACATAAATTTAGCAATATTGTGGGATGCAAAATCAAGATAGTATAAGAAATTGAATTTCTATATTTCATTAATGATTAATCTGAAATTAAAATTTAAAAACACCCTTAGAATAACATTAAAATATAAAATACCAAAAGATGTGCAAGACCAGCAAATCAAAAACTGTAAAACAATTATGAGAGAAATTAATGAAGGCCCAAGAAAAGGAGAAATACAAAGGACACATAAACAGAGAAATGTTTATAAACTGTGAATTTAAGATGTTTTCCATAAATTAATGTGTATATTAAATGCAAAATGAAAGGTTTCTTTTTTTTTCTGAAAGTGACAAGCCAATTTTAAAACTAACATGGTAATAAAAAGTTCCCCAAAGAACAAAATAACAGTATTTTATAAGAGGAATGAAGTTGAAGTACTTACTAATTTCTGTTGTTGTTGTTATTGGTGGTGGCTGTGGTGGTGACAGAATATTGTTCTGTCACCCAGGCTGAAGTGCAGTGGCATTATCTCAGTTCACTGCAACCTCCACTTCCTAAGTTCAAGTGATTTTCATGCCTCAACCATCAGAGTAGCTGAGATTTCAGGCATGCACCACCATGTCTTGCTAACGTTTGTATTTCTAGTAGACACAAAGTTTCCAAATATTGGTCAGACTGGTCTCAAACCCCTGACCTCAAGTGAGCCACCTGCCTCGGCCTCCCAAAGTGCTGGGATTACAGGGTAAGCCATGATGCCTGGCTCTAATTTCTATCCATAGAATAAAATCAAGATTATTACCTGACTTCAAGACTTATTATAAAAGTGTACTAATAAAGACAGGTGATATTTGGCTCATAAATCAACAGAGCTTCGTAGAGAATCCAGTAAGAGACAAAAATCTGTGGAGAACTGATTTATGACAAAGGTACAAATACAAGTCAGTGAAGGAAGAATCGTTTTTATAACAAATGATGTTAAAATAATTAGATATCTATAGGCACAAAAAAACTTATTGAACTACATATAAAAATTTCTTTAAATTTGATCAAAAACATAAGTATAAATGCAAAACTGCAATACTTATAGAGGACAGCTAGAAGAAATGCTTTTTGACCTTGGGTTACACAAAACTTTTGTAGACATGATTTCAAAAATACAATTATGAAATAATAAATTGTTTAATTGGATTTTATCAAAACTAAAATCTTCTGCATGTTCAACAGTGAAGTTTAAAAAAGGAAAATACAATCTACAGACTAAGACAATATAGTTGCAAATCACATATCTGATAACAGCATTTTAAAAATGAGATAAATATAACAACCATTGACCAAAAAAATATAAGAATGGCAAATAAACAGAAAAATAACGCTCAACATTTTAGTCAATAGGGAAATGCAAATTAAAACCAAATCTGGATGCCATTATCACTATCCTGTGAAACCAAGTCAGCTTCACCCCTTCATCTGAAGCTTCTGAGGCCTCAGAAATAACACCACAGAACTATAACCACCTGATCTTTGACAAACCTGACAAAAACAAGCCATGGGGAAAGGATTCCTGTTTAACAAATGGTGTTGGAGAAACTGGCTAGCCATATCCAGAAAACTGAAACTGAACCCCTTCCCTACACTTTATACAAAAAATAACTCACGATGTATTAAAGACTTAAATGTTAGACCTAAAACCATAAAAACCCTGGAAGAAAACCTATGCAATACCATTCAGGACATAGGCATGGGCAAAGACTTTATGAGTAAAACATCAAAAGCTATGGTAACAAAAGCCAAAATTGACAAATGGGATCTAATTAAATCAAAGGGCTTCTGCACAGGAAAAGAAACTATCATCAGAGTAAACAGGCAACCTACAGAATGGGAGAAACCTATCCATCTGCAAAGGACTAATATCCAGAATCTACAAAGAACTTAAACAAATTTACAAGAAAAAAACAAACCCATCAAAAACTAGGCAAAGGATATGAACAGACACTTCTCAAAAGAAGACATTTATGCAGCAAACAGATATATGAAGAAATGCTCATTATCACTGGTCATTAGAGAAATGCAAATAAAAACCACAATGAGATATCATCTCATGTCAGTTAGAATGGTGTTCATTAAAAATTCAGGAAACTACAGACACTGGAGGGGATGTAGAGAAATACAAATGCTTTTACACTGTTAGTAGGAATGTAAATTAGTTCAACCATTGTGGAAGACAGTGTGGTGATTCCTCAAGGATCTAGAATTAGAAATACCATTTGACCCAGTAATCCCATTACTAGGTATATACCTAAAAGATTATAAATCATTCTACTATAAAGACACATACACATGTATGTTTATTGTAGCACTGTTCACAATAGCAAAGACTTGGAAACAACCCAAATGCCCATCGATTATAGACTGGATAAAGAAAATGTGGTACATATATGCCATGGAATACTATGCAACCATGAAAAAGGGTACGTTCTTGTTCTTTGCAGGGACATGAATAAAGCTGGAAACCATCATTCTCAGCAAACTAACACAAGAATAGAAAATCAAACATGGCATGTTTGCACTCATAGGTGGAGTTAAACAATGAGAACTCATGGACGTGGGAAGGGGAACAGCACACACTGGGGCCTGTTGGGGGGTAGAGGCTGGGGGAGGGACAGCATTCGGAGAAATACCTAATGTTGACAACAGCTTGATGTGTGCAGCAAACCACCATGGCACATACGTGTGTAACAACCTGTACATTCTGCACCCGTGCCCCAGAATTTAAAAAAAGAAAAAAAAAGAAAAAGAAAACTGACAACCATTGACTACTGATAAACATGAAGATACGACACTCAAATTACTTAGAAATGAAAGAAAGGATATTAATACTGCTCTTATAGATATAAAAAGGATTATAAGGTAATACAAAGAGCAATTGTAATTTCAACAAATTACAGAACTTAGATGAAATGGATACATTCCTAGAAAAATGTAACATACCAAAATTGACTTAAGAAATAGAAAATTAGCATATTCATATAACAAATAAAAAGATCTAATTAGTAATTGACATTTTTCCCACAAAAATAAGCCAGGGTTTGATTGTTTTAATGGTAAATTTTGGTAAATATTTAGGAAAGAACACCATTTTTTTCACAAATGATTCCAAAAAAAGAAGTAGAAGAGAATGCAACCATTCCCAACTCATTCAATAAAGTCAGTATTATCTTAATACCAAAATAAATCTCAACTATCACTAGAAAATTATAGACCAATGCCCATTATAAATGCAATAATAATCTTTAACAAAATTCTAGCAAGTTGAGTTCAGCAGCATAACAAAGGTTATACACTGTGATAAAGACTTATTTCATTAGTGGAAGATCATTTCAATAATTAAAAATCAGTTAATTTAAATTCACATAATAACACAAGATGAAATACAAATTACAACCTCAATACATTGAGGTAAAAAAAAAGGAAAATATCCTTTCCTGTAAGAAACTCAAGTTAGAAATGAAAGGAACATTCTGAAATTGATCAAGGGTATCTATGAAAAGCCTGCAGCTAATATTATACTTCATGGTATATATTGAACTTTCCCTCTTACCAGACAAATATATCTGGTTTGCACATGTAAATTATGAACATCAAGTGGAAAATATTTGTATTTACTTACATATTCATTCTTACATTGTCTGGCATCTACTTCTTTTATTGATTGAGTGAGTGAGTGAGTGATTGAGATGGAATTTAGCTCTTGTTGCCCAGGCTAGAGTGCAATGACAAGATCTTGGCTCACCACAACCTCTGCCTCCTGGATTCAAACGATTCTTCTGCCTGAGCCTCGCAAATAGCTGGGATTACAGGCATGTTCTACAATACCTGGCTAATTTTGTATTTTTAGTAGAGATGGGGTTTATCCATGTTAGCCAGGCTGGTCCCAAACTCCTGACCTCTGGTGATTCATGCACTTGGCCTCCCAAAGTGCTGGGATTACAGATGTGAGCCAACATGTCCTACAGTCTGGCATCTAGTTCTTAGGATTTTTTTTTTCCATTCTCCCATTTAGTTTAAAATCTGGAGATAGAGATAATCCAAAAAAAAAGAGGGGTACTTCCATAAATAATTGTGAAGAGCACATATATTTATTCAGTCTAATTTATATTCTTTATCTCCTAACAGAAAATACTTGTCTCTTCTTTGTTGCTGAGTCAAAGGTCCGATCCCCTGCCTGGATACTAAACTTGGCTCAATTCCTGACATTGTCTCTTTTATTCCCATAACCAACCTTTTTCAGAGACTTCAGAAGACTAGATCAAAACTTTTGCATATGTTGGATGACTCACAGAAGCACAGACTATGTGGTATAGTAATTTTGTGATCTTTTGTCTAAACTCATACTTGCTTAATTATGTATTCTTTAATGGGCCGAGAATGCTACAACTTCCACTCTGCTCTACCAGCAGCTACATGATTGAATTTTTATCAGTGAATTTATTAAATGTAATAGGCTTTCACAAGCACCAAATTTATTTAGCTAAAGCTTAAAAGAACAGGCTACATAGTATCCACAGCCATAACATAGTGGAAGTATGTGATCCCTAGGCTCAGTTTCTGGTATCCCATACATTTTATACTAAGGAATGATGTGTGTTGAATATGTGCAGACAACCTCAGATCAGGGAAGCCAATAAGCCCCAGGGTCCCTTTAGCCTTTATAACAAGCTAATCACATAGCCCCTTCCAATGTACATGACTAGGACTCCATGACCAGCTTCCATCTATAAATGCAGTTGTGTGTCATTAAAGCTGATTTTTCTTTATTTAATAAATAATATTGACAGTGTCTGGTTCAATAGATATTTTGATCAAGTTCATATTTCCCTTGAATTTAGTATAGAATTTTTCAAATGATTCTGTGAGTTTATGTTGTAAGGAGAATTGGCCAAGCATCAAATCCTCAGACATCTCTAAAACTAAAGGAAATGACAGAATCAGATGTTTATGCTTATGAAACTTAGTTTGAATATAAAATTCTTGGTTGGAAATTATTTTCTTTTAGAATGCTGAATATAGGCCTCCAATCCATTTTGGCTTGCATAGTTTCTGCTGAAAGATCCACTCATGGGGTTCCTTTTTGAGATGTCCTGCCCCTCCTCTCTACCTGCTTTTTAACATTATGTTAATTTCAACTTGGAGAATCTGATTATTATGTGCCTTGCAGATGGTCTTCTTGTGTATTACCTCAAAGGTGTTCTCTGTCTGCATTTCCTGAATTTGAATGTTGGCCTCTCTAACAAGGTTGGGGAAATTTTCACGGAAAATATGTTAATATATGTTTTCCAAGTTGCCTGCTATCACACCCTCTCTCTCAGAGACACTAATGAATCATAGATTTGGTCTCTTTATATAATGTGATATTTATCAATGTTTCGTTTATTTTTTATTCTTTTTTTCTTTATTTTTGTTTGACTGAGTTAGTTTGGAGAATTAGTCTTCGGCTCTGAGATTCTTTCCTCAGTTTGGTCTATTCTATTATTAATATTTATAATTGCATTATGAAATTTTTGTAGTGCATTTTTCAGCTCTATCAAATCAGTTTTTTTCTTGTAATGCCAGTTCATCTTTCAGCTCCTATATCATTTTACTGTAATCCTTAGATTCTTTAGATTGGGTTTTGACTTTCTTCTGAATCTCAATGATCTTTATTCCTCCATATTCTGAAATCTATTTCTGTCATTTCGGACATTTCAGCCAGGTTAAGAATCCTTGCTGGGGAACTAATGTGATCATTTGGAGGAAAAAAGACACCTTGACTATTTTAGTAGTCGGAATACTTGTGCTGGCTCTTTCTCATCTTTGTGGGTTGATGTTCTTTCTCATCTCTGTGGGTTGATGTTTAACTGTGGTATAACTTGAATACAGTCAAATTCTTTTCTGGATGTTTTCAGAAGGCCAATATTTTATGTAAGTCTTTGTGTGTAACTTAGTTCTTGTTCTTGTTTTCACAGGGGATATGTCAGCAAAATATTTTTGTTGTTGAAATTCAGGATATAATCCAGTAGATGGTGCTTGAATGTAATGACCAGTAGTTAAAGGCTCTTGCTCAGTCAGATGGCTCCTCTCTATTTCCTCATAATTGCAGTCATGCTCCCTCACAGTGCTATGAAAGTGTGGGCTCCTCTTCCACTCAAGTGCTGGTTGCAGATCTCTACTTGGCACTCCTCAGATGCACTCTGCTGCCCTAAGGTGAGCTCAGGCTTTATGTTCTCTGCCAGCTTTAAGGAAAGACTTTGGCAGTGACTGCGACAGAAGGCCTTTCACTTGTCTTTTGAGGCTCCACACCAGAGAAATGCAGAGCTGCTATCAGTTGGTACAACTGGCCCCGGATGTGGTCATTGCACAGTAAGCCAGAGCTAGGGGCCCCTGCTTGATAATAAGCAAGGGCGGTAGCGAATTCAGCTGCTAGACAGACCGGCCTCTTCTCCCTAGAGTGGCTGTAGTTTGCTAAATGTGTGGTTAAAGCACTCGGGGTCTTTGTATCTTCCCCATTCCAATGGGAGCAAGAGCAGCAGTGGCAGAGGGGCTTTCAGTTGCTTTGGGAGCTGCAGCTCAGAGAAACAAGAACAGCTGCTACTGGGATGTTCAGCTAGGGGCAGGGCCACTGTGCTGCTGGCCTAAGCTGGGGGCCCCACTGGTGAAGAGCTGGAGGTCAAGGGTTCACAGGGAAGAGAGACAGGGCTCCTCTTTATATGGTGACTGTGTAGTGTTAGAAGCATAAGGAAAACCCTCAGGCTCTTTGTTTCTTCCCAAGTTTGAGGGCAGCAGCACAACTGTAGCCATGGCTATGGCACAGAGTTGGTTGGTTACCTCTGGGAGCCCTTCCCCAGGGAATCAGGGAGCCACTGCCAGTAGGTATGCTCAGCCAGGGGTGAGGAAGCTCTGCTGCAGTTCCAAGCCAGGGCCCTTGCCTGGTGAAGAGTTGAAGGTGGCTCATAGGGAAGAAAGACTGGGCTCCTCTTCATATTGTGGCTCCTAGCCTAAAGACAGTAAGGACAGTATCACTGCAGCTGCAATGGCAGAGGAGTGGCGGGTTTTCTCTCTGATTTCTCCTCAGAGAAATACAGAGCGGCAAGTGACTGCAGTATTTAGGCGGGGGACAGGATGGTGGTGCTGGGAAACCAGGTTGAGAGGCACTCATGCAGAGTAACAGAGGTGGGGATTCAGGTGGAAAACAGTCTGGCCACTTTTCTGTAAGGTAGCTGCACTGTGCTTGGAGTATGCATTAGTTTCTAATTATCATAAACCTTCCTGAGCCTGAGGGCAACAGGAGTGAGGGCTGTGGAGCAGCCAGAATTGTGGCCTGCCTGCTTCCCCTCTGGGAGTTCTGTCCCAAGGAAGTGCAGAGGTGGTTCTGGCCTGAGAACTCAGGCAGAGCTAAGGTTACCTGGCTAGGGTCTCAGGTAAATGGCCCTTATCCTGTGAGGTGCAGTGTAGGTAAGGCCTGTAGTCCGTTACAGCTCAGTTCCGTGAATTCCGCCCATTTTCTGGGGGCATGGAAGGGAGCCTAGCCTCCCCTGTTGCCGGAGCTGCAGCCGCTGGTGCTGGAGCTCTCGGGGATCCAAGGCCCCAAGGACTCTGCCTGTGCTTAAGCAATGTCTTTCCCCCTGTATCCCTCCATGAAGATCTGGAGGCCATTGTTGTGAGGGGTCATGGAGAATCTCCTGAGGCCAGAGCTGCTGAAGTGTGGGTCCTTGGGGAACGCCTCCTCACTGTTTTTCCATGATGGGGGAAACCTGGCTCCATGCCACTCGCAGATGGGCAGTAGTCCTGTCTCACTCATCTCTATTCTCTGTGGGTCAAGTTACTTCCTTGATGAATCCCAATGTGTCCACCTGGTTGTTCCAGTTGAAGAGCTAGTGTTTAGTCACCACTCTCTCTTCTTTCCATGAGCGCTGCACACACTAGCTGTTTCTAGTTATCCATCTTGGCCAGAAAATCTTAAATAAGATTCTTCACACATATATGAAATTATTTCTAGTGAAAAGAATAGTTTCCTTAATGTAAAATGTGCTTCAATAATTTAGAATTTGGCTACTAATAATAGGCATCCATTAAAAAAAATAAGGTGCTACAGGAAAGCTATCTTGCTCAAAATAAGGAAGTAGTAAACAGTTTTTGGGGTAGGACAGCAACTGGGCAAGATATATATAATTTTCTATCCAAGGCCAGTCTTAAAATAAGCTTATTTCTTTCAGAAAATATGTACCAGGAAGATACAAACATCACTGGAATTAATACAGATCATATCCAAATTTCTTGGTTCAGTGATACCTTTTCTGTATGAATTTCCTCCTATTCATATTTCCTAAAATATAGTTTCCCATTTTACACTGCACTATGAGTGTTACTATGAATGAATTTACTGTTCTTAGTGATTTTGACAACTGCATTCAAACGGTTTTCCTTAACTTGATGCCAGAAGCCCCTAAAAACTATCACCCATTTACCTTACATTCTTAAATTTAATTAAGGATAGTTGCCCTGCAATGTCTCTCCAAAATTCACATGTTGAAATCCTACCACTCAAGATGATAGTATTAGGAGGCAAGGCTTTTTGGAGATGATGAGGTTGTGAGCCTTCATGAATGGGATACATGTCCTTATAAAAATGAGCCCAGAAAGCTGCTCGCCCTTCCTCTATGGGAGGTTACAGTGAGAAATGGCTTTTGGTTAGGAAGCAGACCTTCACAAGACACAAAATCTGTGGCACCTAGATTTTGGATTTCCTCACATCCAGAACTATGAGAAATAAATAGTTATTGTTTATAAGCCACCAAGTTTATGGTGCATTTTAATAAAAACCTGAATGGACTAACATAAGCTCCATTTTTTTTCCCCCTAAGGCCACAAGAAAAGACTAGCCAAATCTATAAGAATTTACTGTCTTGCTTATTCAGCAATTTTCTATTGAAAATTTGTCCTATTTTAGTCCTTTCTGTGTAACTGTTGTTTGTCTACCTTTTTTATTATATAAATATTGAACTATCCTTGAAAAACCTGAAATAAATACTACTTGGTAGTGCTATATAATTCATTTTATACATTTTAAGGTTCACTTGCTAATATTTAGTTAAAAATTTTTTCATTTGTGTTTGTGTAACAGATCCCTCTGTAATTTTTCTTTCTTGTAATGTCTTTGTCTGGTTTTAGTATTGGGGTAATTCTGGCTTCACAGAATTAGTTAAGAAGTATTCCTTTTGCTTCTAATTTTCTGGAACAAAAAAGATTATGCAATCAGAATGAAATTTTTTTTAATGTTCATCAGAATTCACTATTAAGATCATCTGAGCCTGGTGATTTTCATTTTTGAAGTTATTATCACTGATTCAATTTTTTAATACAAGAATACAATGTGTAATAGGCACATTAAGGTAAATGCAGTATCTGTCACCTCAACCATTTATTATTTATTTGTATTACAAATATTCTGGTTACACTCTTTTAGTTATTTTTAAATGTACAATAAATTATTGATGACTATGATCACTCTGCTGTGCTATCAAATACTAGATCTCATTCACTCTAATGATACTTTTGCACCTGTTAAGCATTGCCACTTCTCCCCTACCTCCCCAATGCCCTCCTCAGCCTTTGGCAACCATCACTCTTCTTTTTAACCCATATAGCCCTTTTCAAATTATTTATTTGTCCTTGTATTACTTTTGGTAATTTGTGTTTTCAAGAAATTGGTACAATTAATCTATATTAACAAATTTGTGGGTATGGAGTTGTTCCTTTATTCTTTCAAATTCTCTTAATACTCATTAGAACTACCGTAATGGC